CGGACTTCAGTCTACGGACTTTTCAGTCTTATAGGACTTCAGTCTACAGACTTTTCGAATCCACGGATTCAAAATTATTTTCCTTGAGCCGCTCGACATGGAGCAGACCTCAGACGGATTGTGCTGAATCCGTGCCACGGATTCTTTCTAATTGCGGAGTTTGTTCTTTTTTGGACATCATGGTCATGTATGCGCCACTAAATATCAATCATGATTTTTTTCGAATCAAATCGGCTGTCCATCATTGGCTAATTTTCAATGACGGTTGAAAAGCTCCTTATAACTTTCTATGCTCGTGAAAAATCAGGCTCAAGTTCGATAATAGACCTGGGTCAAGGGGCGCTAATCCGGATGATGGCTGCACCGGCGAAAAACATCAGCTCATGGAGATTGAATGCGGCTGAGACCAGTGAGCTTGAAGCACGAGTCGCTAAGGGAGAGGAGCATGCAGCGGTAAAGCGAGAACTGCAAACCAAAAAAGCGGAAGCGTGCGAAGCTCGCAAAAGAGCCGCGCAAGCTGTATCCACATCAGCTGCGGCTGGTGCTCCTGCAGGTAAACGCGCAAAGACTGGCGCCGCAGCCGCTGCAGCGGCCTCGCCAAGTCCGGACCAGGATGCCACAAATGCCACGTATTATAAGGAGGTACAAGCGGACATCCAGCGAATTCTGGCAGAGTTTCCGGGCATGGAAAAGGAAAAGCCAATGCAATTGACCGAGTGCGCAGGGACTGGGGTTCAAGAGGCTTTCTGCAGGGAGAAGGGGGAAAGCGCGTTGAAGACTCACAAAGTCTACAGAGCCAGCATTTCAGTTTGGTGGCTGAACGTGTTCAGCTCTGCGACTCCTGGAGTCCCGATGTCGCGCAAGCGCACCCTGGACATGTCAGAGCACTTCTACCCAAACGGGGCCCCGTCATTCATGACTTCCCAGATGGTAGAGTGTCAGGTGACCAATGCTGATTTGGCAGCTGAGCCGAATGGGCTGCAGATGGTGAGTCCAGAAGAAATAGTCCACGCTTTGCTTGCTGGATGCGCCCGCAGCATTCAGAAGCTTGGCAGCATTGTTTGAATGAGAACCTACTTACTATTATAAAAACTTTAAGTCGTTTGAAGTGTCATTTGTTATATTGCTGAGGTCGCCAAATTGGCAGTCACATAAAGACAAATGGCGCATGGTGCTCCTGAGCATCCCATGTGCATTTTTGCTGATGCAGCAATCCGAGCTGCGAGTGGCCGCGTTCAATCGCCGCCAAGCAGTGCTGCAGCAGCATGAATCCTTGTCTCGCACAGGGATGCAGACGGTGATTGAAATCGCCCATCTCCGCTCAATGCTGGAGGCTGCAAATCCAGCAGCGCAGAAGATGAACCACTCCCAGGTCGCAAGCGAGCTGGTGAAGATGGGTTTGAAGTCCGTGGTCTCAGGACGCAAAGCCGACGAAGACGATGCTGGAACTGTCAGCCCGAACTTGGTAGGCAATTGCCAAACCATCTCCAAATCAGTGCTGGTGTCTGCCAAATGTGTAGAGATTCTTTTGCAGATGGAACAAGATTTTGGAACGCGCTCGCCCTTTCATACTGTGGCGGCCTTGACAGCCATTGCAAAGAAACCGACCAACGCGTTCTTTCGCGAATGGTCCATGGAAGCCATCCAGGATGCAGTGAATCAAAAGCTTCTGCATGTCATGGATATCACGAAGAGCAGCCTTCAAGGCGACAAGCATCATTGTGGGCTGATTCCTTTGTACGAGACAAAATGGAAGGCTGGCGGTTTTCGAAGTGCCCATGATTTTAACAAAGTCGTCGCGAAAAAAACTATTAAATATATATAAATATGAAATCAAACGTATGAGTCAGAAACATTCATATCCCCAATACAATACGCCTGCGGCAGGTGCTCAACCACTTTTGGGAGGAGCTGTTGCCGAAGAGCGGGATGCTGTCAGATGACAGAGCACTCGTCAAGGCGAAGCTCACGGACCATCGGACATACAGAGAGGCGTCGGGTGAGGCCGATGTTAGTTGGATGAGCCGACTCAAGACAAGTGGGCTTGCAGCTTTCGAGCTGCTTCAGGACTGACAATTATTCTGTCATTCGTTATTTTCCATTAGTCTTTTTTGATGCCCGCCCGTCGGCCAGGACATCGTCTACAGCAAAAAGTATGACAACCAAATTCGACAGGCTGCCAGACAAGGTGGCTCTCCGGAGTCTGTCCTGGAATTCAGTGACATCTCAGCGGGCTGGGATGCAGTCAAGGGACACTTGGCAAACGAGGAAGCAGAACGCAAAGCTGCCGCAAAGCTTGAGAGGGAGACTGCTGAAGTCGAAGAAGAGGAAAACTGTGTGGAAAATTTGAGGAAGGCTCCAAATAATTTTCCTCTCAACTCGACCAAGTATTGGCGCGCAGTCGCGAACCAATCAATGAGAACATACATCACCCTGCAGGTCGAGCCGAAGACTCAGGACATGGTGGCTAGCGCTGTGGCGTCCTCGCCATTGAAAGACATCACCAGCCCTATCTTCACACATTTGGACCCGGGATTGTTGGGTGAGTCATGGGGCCCTGGACAACAAGCACGCTTGAGGAAAAAATATCTGGCAGACGATGCGCTTCTAAGGAAGTTGCTCCACGGAGCAATGATTGGCAGGGGCGCCCAGAAAAAGACTCCTGAGGGAGAAACCACTGTGCCGGCTCGGGGAGAAATCGTCATAGTCCATGTTGGACCAGACAAGAGCAAGCAAGAAGTGCGAGCAGTTTTCCGTCTCCAAAGCGCCCGCAAAGACGCAGTCCTGGAAGCGGAGGAAAAAGAATTGCTTATTGCATATGACGATGACTCCATCCGGCAGAGGAAGAAGCTCACGAGAGGAAGCTACAGTTTGCGCTCCTCGTTGCTCTTTTTCAGTGAATCACCTTTGATTCCTGATTTGATACCTGAGAAGCAGTACGAGACTTATAATGCTTGGAACACGGCTGACCTGGTGGGCTTTGTGAAGGCGCTGCCGCCGTCAGCGTTGTGGCATACGAACAGGACGCCTCACTGAGGTCACCTCACTGTTATATAGAACCGTTTACTACAGCTCCTTTCACATTTTTGTTCCGTCCTCAACTTCTTTTATTTTTCTATTTCGTCAGGACTGAGAAGGAAGAGATCTTGACAAAGGAAAGGACCGTGCAGCCCACTGAAGCTGCCCAGGCCAAAAATAACGAGGACCCGGTCCTGCTTTCAGAATCCGTCTTCAGCTGCCAAGCCCTCCCACGGAATTTTACCGTGAACTTTTGAAAGCGCACAGCTGTAAGGGAGTGCAACTTGATTGCATTTTTGATTGCATTTTTTTGGAACAATCACTTTTGGCAGAAAGAATCAGACAAAGTCATGTTAATTTTCCCTGCTCACCAAGGATTGACTTAAGCGCGGGACAGGGGGAGCTGGCTCGCGCGGCCATCTGCGAGCGTCTGCCCTACTGGGGCCTGTGCTTGAGCGAAGCGCACTGCTCCAGACTGGAAATCCGTTTGACGGATTATGTGATGGAGGAGATGAAGCGGGAAGGCTCAACGCACTACAGGCCAGAATTCGCTGCGTCTGGTCAAAGCCCAGAGGACGAAAAGGAGGCTCAAAAGAAGAAGACAAAGAATAAACGGCCTGGTGGTGAAGAGGACAACACGGCCGGCAAGAAGCCGAAGGGCAAACCCAAACCCAAACCCAAGTCCAAGGCTGCGGCTGAGGCGGAAGGGCAGGATGGCCAGGAAGAAAAGAACGGGGATGAGGAGGAAGGTGATGAGCGGTCCGATTCCATGCCCTGGTAAGCCGGCGCGCGCAATAAGCCCGGTTCTTGGCAAGCAGTCAGCTTGGTAGGGCAATGCCCTCTTTTGACAGATGGCAAGGTTGCGGCTGTGGGGATTGAAAGGATTTTTGGTTGTGTTTGTTATTATTTAATGCTGGTTTTTCAATGTTTGAAATTGAAAGAAATATGTTCAAGCTGCTGCCGAATCCTCACGGATGGACTCCTTAGCCACAATACCTGCAAACCGGATGCTCCACGCCCGGTGAAGAAAAATGCAGCTGCTAGACACAGTGGAAACGGTATATGTCTTAACAGTATGGTTTTTTGTTTTAGACTTTCTTCCCTGGTATTTTCGATTTCGCTGTTGAACCCTATTCCGCCTGGGCATGAAACTCACTAAGAGGCCACGGTTTTAGCTAAAAAAACGGTTGTTGAGAAATCAACGAAATCATCGAAACATGGCTAAGGCTATGATATCAAGCTTTTGACCCTTATTCTTAGCAGAATGTTTTCCAGAGTGCTTTACACGCGTCACATCATCTGGGATGTTGTTGAGAAGACCTGATCCCCATAGTTGCTGTTGAAGTAGGCAAGGCAACCAAAGTCTGTCTGAGGCAATGTTTCTTGATTGTGCACAATTTTTGACGGCGTGTTATAAACTGAAAAGGCCTTTGAAAAGTGGTTGAGCGGCTTCCAAACGGATCGATTTCCTTCAATTTTTGAGGCTCAAATGTTCATGTCCGTTGCTGCTGCTTCGCCACACATGGCCAACCCGGCTAACTGAGTATGAGAAGTTGGCGATAATCTCTTTCCAGCTGCAAGAGGCACTCGTCTCTGCAGACAATGTTCATGATGTAGTGTCTGAGAACCCGGGTCTGAAGACCGGTTTGAAGGAGAAAGTGGAAGGGGTGCTGGCCGACCTTTGCAAATTGTCAGACGAAGCTCACACGGCCAAGTTTATCACAGAATCGAGCTTGAGAAAAGCTTTGGCTTTGATTGGGCAAACTCTGGGCCAGGCATCTGTGGATGCCAGCCCTCCTGAAGAGTCAGATGTGAAAGATGCCCATATGGCTGCAAAACACGGGGCCTGCTGAGCTAGCTTAAGGGTTCGGGCGCAGGAGTGTGTGGCTTGAGCGTTCGGTTGTGTTAAAGACTTATACTATTTGCGATATACTTGAAAAACTCCTTCCATTGTTTCAATGAGCCACGCCAAGCTGGCAAGCAAGACTGTTGACCAATAGTTTTGACCAGAAGAAAACAAGGGCGGCTGATTCTTTTGCAAATGTGTAGAGCATTGCAGAGAGCTCCCCCACACTATTCGTGCTTACCCACTTCCCACTCACTTGTGCGAACAAATCGTCGTCCATTTAAGAAAACAACCGCCTCAATAACAAAAGCCCCCAAAAAACACCAGAAGGGCAACCAGGAAACCTCTAAACATCGCTAAGTTCCTCAATGTGTGGTAGTCGCAGGCCACCGCCCGGTTCTCTGACAAGGTTCTTTGTCTGATACCGGTAAGGGGGGGAACCGGTACCTGTCTTGCACCCACGCGTTGAGCTCCTCCTCATTCAGTGTAGTCAGTCCCGCTGGCTTCTGCCCGGGGTTGTCTCTCGGACGGGAGGTGGTGAACGTTGGCAGTGGCTCCGGTGAAGTCCTTTGACACCCCTTCAGTAGGAAATCTTCTGCTTTCATCTCGGCCGTGAGCTCGATGGTCTTGTATTGAGCACTCCCCGAACCCACAGGAGGCTGTACCGCTCCTCCCCGACCTGGGAGCAATTCCCAATCGCACCAGTAGAGACGAGGCCGCCGCGCCAGCGAAACTCCAGCCGCATCAATGCACACTGGGACGACCCCGAACGCCTCTGTCATCACCTTCCTATCGGCTTCGTCCATATGCTCATGACACTCTCTGCCAGATAGCGAACCTGCGCCCAGCAAAAATGAGCACGTACTAGCTCTCGGATCCGAGCAACATGGCTGAAGAGGCAGCTGCGATGGTCTCGAAGAGCTCTGCGTCTATTGGCATTAAGTCCACTCACCCCCTATGATCACCACCGCGGCCTGAGAATACCGAGCTGCCCAGCATCGGACCATCTCCTCATTGACTTCCTCCACACCCCCTTCAACAAAAAGGGTAGCCGGAAAGCGGCTTTCAAGTACCCTACTTGCCTCCTTCTTCACCTCCACGCTGATGTGTCCAATGACCCCCAAACCAAGGGCATCGGCTGCAACTCTCAGTGCCCCTATTCCATCAAACAGGCCAATGGTGAGCACTGCATGAGGGTCATTCGGATCTGCCAGATCTCCTCGCCCTCTCGGCTGCTGCTTGGCCAAAGCCTGTGAGCCCTGTGCTGATGGTGATGCCGCCGCCCGTAGTTGACGCATCACTGGCAGTGACCTCCCCGTTCACCAGGAGGCGAAAGTCCAACTTGGCCAAAGAAGGGATCAAGCAAACAAAACGTGCAATCTCCAGTTTCACACCAGCCGGAATGGGGAACTTGATGAAGGGTGGATACCCACGAAAACTCTCAATGAACTGCCACAACTGGTTCAAACACCCAAGCATCGGCCGCCTGAACATACTGATGTAGACCAGTCCTCCCGCGACCACCTGGGCCTGTTTCTGGTTGCACGTCTCCTCTTGGAGCAAGAGTGAGGCCATGTACTTGTTGAGCTTCACCGGCTTGGGGTAGGCCACGCCGCCCACACCGTCCACGATTGCTCCTTCGACCTCAGCCCTCGATGCTCTGCAAACCGTCTTCTTGGGATGACGTGGGATGCCCCAGTCCTCATACTCCGCTCTCAGGGCCAACAGGGCCGGGCTCGGCTCCCCTTGTAGGAGCTGAGCGGTCTTGCGATCCATCTTCTCCACCAGGTCGAAGTTGTCCAAGTAAACCCTGTGGAGGGTTGAAGCTCCTGAGAAAGGGCGATCCTTCCGTATCTCTCCTGAGCTTTCAAGACTGCCTGGAACCCGAAGACCTGCTCGCCGGACGATGTTGCGGTGGACATGCTGTGCCAGGCTGACGGAGTTCTTGAAACCCATCGGTAACACCTGAGATGCCAAATAGTATGGTCCCTCTGAAGTTGGCCAGAGTTCTCTAGGAAGTACCTTGTTGAACGCCAAGAGCCGCCGCCATTCATCTGGCACCTTGAATATATAAAAGAAACAACGCACATCTTCAGATGAGATCACGAGGTCCTCAGTGGGCCCCATCGTGGCCCAACTCGGTAGAGTGGCGACGTCGCCCTCCAGGCCCCGACACACAAGATTGCATGGTCGTAGGTCCATGATGAGCCGGTGGATGGGGAGACCTTCAACCTCTTCGTCTTTGGGTACTCCGAAGAGGCCGTTCAAGACCGGTGCGCCTTCCACGCAGTAGAGGTCCTCCTCCTTGATAGGCACGCACACTCCTTTGGCTATCAGCCCCTTGCAAACCTCCAGCCAGTCATCATCGTGAAGCAGCACACGTGGGGGTTTCATCTTCCTCTGGACCTCCCCGGGTAGGAGGTACTCCAGAAAATGATCCACATAATGTTTATAGCCTAATTCACAAACCTCAGACAAGTCTACCGACGCCACTTCAGCTGGCATTGCAGGGGCCAAGTTGGCCCAGGAGGTTGGGCGTGCGCAGAGCACTTCATCACCGCAGTAAGGAATAGTTTTCAATTGGAAGAAACTTTTCCACGATGTCTCCTCCAGCCTCTCTGGCCATCCCATGACCACTTGAGCCTCCTTGTACAAACCTTTAACCACCTGCCCTTGAACTTTGGTGGGATAGAAGGAGTTCTCAACTGATTCCCCATAGAAGCTATTCAACGCACAACACATGCCCCTCACAATCACCAATTCCTGCTCAGACGCCTCCACCATCGTCTTGAGGTAGAACATGCTGGTGGGCAACGGGAAAACGTCGCCCTTGGGCTGGGCCTTGCATCGCAGGTCGAGACCGATCTTCTCACACGAATAAACCAGCGCAATCAAAACCCAAGGGATGGTATCAGCAAAACTGTCTCCTGCACTCGGCGGTTTCACGCATTCTTTTTCAAGCGCGACGGTGTCCTGTCGTTCGCTTGGTGATGACAGGGAAGTAGCCAGAATACCCGGCCTCACATCTGCCACAGCTGTATTCCCGGCCTCTGCATCGTCATGATGTTCAGCTGCCAGGACCACTGGAAAAATGTCCAGGGCTCCGCCTGGTCCACCTTCTTGAGCTCCCCTTCAAACGGAGCTCCACTGCACGGTGGCTCATAGGCTCCAAGGACCTCAACCTCCTCAGAGCTTCCCTTCACTTCTTTGCGTCCTCCTTTGGCTTGCCCTTCTTGCCTTTTCCCTTCGTCTCCTTTCCTTTTTTGCCTCCTTCTCCTCCGCTCTCGTTCCATGAACTGGCTTTCCATCCTTCTTCCTTGCCTCGCGACTGCGAGGCCTCGGACTTTGTCTTGCAGTCCTCCTTCTGTTCTCGGATAGCCTCCTTGGCTTCGCTCCTGGTTGAAAGAACTG